ACAGAGACAGGAAACTAATATATTCAGTATTGCAAAAATGTCCTGAGGCGTGTGTGATACTGCGAATATGTGTGCTAATATGTGTGTTACTGCATTGCAGCTTCAGTTCAGCTTCACTATTTCGATTCAATGACCACTGCGACAATTTGTGTCAATTTATTGTTCTCTTCCACGTCCTGGAGTTTTTTTTTTCTATTTTAAATGGAACTTTTGACATTTGAAGTTTTGAATATACAGAACATTTTTTTTTTGTTGAGAAATCTGTTAAATTGCACATGATTTGCTAATGGATAAAAGAGCAATTTTATGTGAATTTTTCTATAGTTCAATGTGAGCTTCTAATTTAGAATGTTAAGTGCAAATATTAGTGTTTTGCACTTCAAAAGATGATTTTCGTTTTGAAAACATTGAAAGTTTTCACAAAATTGAATTTTAAAATAATTAATTTAAAATTATTTTTGTATTGAAATGTTTAAAGCAAATTGAATATTTAAGAAGTAATTCAAAAGTTTAGTTTTGACGATTGGTTTTGTAAATCGTCTTTTTCTAGCATGAATTCTAGCATGAATCCTTCTCATGTTCTAAAACTTTATTTAGAAAAAAAATTAAAATATAATTATTTATGAATTATTATTAGTATTATTATTTTTATTTTTTATTATTATTATTTATTAGCATTATTATACTTTTACAACAAAGTAACAAAACTCCAGAAAAATGTGCGAACATAAAACCAATTACGGCTTTGGGTCAGTTGGTTAAAGTGCGCTGACTCTGAGCTTCAAACTTGGCAGAGCACTAGTTCGAATCCCGGTACTTGCACTCTCAAAAAAAAAAAATGATTTACTAATAATTAAATACAAGAATTATTTCCAAGACAATTGATGTTGGGTATTTGGCAATACTCGAAACAGCTGTACGGTCAGCCACAAATTCATTTGTAATTTTTAATAAATTTTTTAACATTTTATGTGTGAATTAAACGACCTAAGCTCGGTGAAAATCAAAAACAAAAATTCTATTATCTTTATAATTATATTTTATTTAATTACTAAAATATCATTTAGATCTTTAAGTTATTTAAGATAAAGACACGGAGTAAATTGTATCGTGTTTAAATAATCAATACACTACTCTTAGTTCTTCTGGCAAGTTGCAGTTGGTATGTTTCTCTCAGAAACACTGCGGTCCAAATATATCTGCAAATATATGATATACTCACATTGTAGGACTGCATTTTCTTAAGATTTACCTGTGAAGAGATTTCTCTTCTGTCAGAGAATGTAAGTCTCAAGGATTTTTATTCGTTGATCTTGATTTTCGATTATGGTTATTAACTATTCATCGTTTAATCTAAATCACACTAGTAGATATTGAAATGCTTCAGGTGGTGTCTCATTAGTTTCTAGAATTGCTGTATCATTCGCATATGCTTCAAAGTTGACTACATTACATTAAAGCAGTAAATTTCGGAAAGGTCTGCAGCATTTTGTGCAATATTCACTTTTTCACACTTTGACTTTTCAAAATTTAATTGCCGGAAATTTGAAAAAAGAAGCATACTTTTCGGCTTAACATGTGATTGATTTGTTGTTATATTTTTAAAAAAAAATATTTCTTTTATTTTGTGTTTGAATAAATTTTCTATTAACTTTATTTAGTAAAGAAATATAATATTAAGCAAAAAGAGGCAAAAAACCCAACAAAAAAAGTTTTAATTAAAATGTTAAAATTAAGTGTTCAATTAACTTTTATTGCCGCGGCAACACAATATACCCCCGAAAGGCATTCGGTGGCTTAAAGATGTACCATTTCTTTAGATACCAAAAATAAGGTAGGCGAAATCATTTCCAGCAAAATAAACCCAAAAATTTGTTGTTATTGGAATGAAGAACTTAAACAAATACTACTCAACTTTAATGTGAACCACCAAAATGTTTGACTGTTATAACTTTAAATGTGTTAACCCTTCTGAGATGTATGTTACCATTTTCGTCCAAAGTTCAATGGCAACAAATTAAGGGGGCGAAATAAGTTAAATACATGAAATGGTTATAAATTATTTAATAAACTGAAATGTTAGTATATTTCTTAGAGGAAGTATATAATTATTTAAAAATAAAAACAACTTGTTCTGAAAAGTGAAATGTTAAAACATTTCTTAGTGAAAAGCTTTGCTTAATGCATTTGTCTTTAATTATTTAGTTATATATTGTATTAAATGACTATATCATCTCTTATTAACTAAAGACTTACTTTACTAACTTTATCTAACTCAATAGGATGAAATAATATACTAACCACAACCATACCATATGCTATATGGCATGTCTTTGTAAAAAAAGGGGTACATATTTATGTTATCAGAAGAGCTACACTAATACTCATATTTGAATTATATCCAAGTTTTTATATCTGGTATACATTGTTTGATTATATTTACACTTTACTCAGGTTTCGCTTCCGTATATGTTATGTTGAGCATAAAGTTGCCACAGGTTTCAACGCTATATTAGATAATATTAAGCTAGGAGTACAAATGAACGACTTGGTCATAATAACTTGAACAATTCTTGACAAATCCAATCTAAATCAACAATAAAACATGCTAACGGTACTTATATCCCTTTAATAATCAAATAATCTAAAGAATTTAAAATGCTATAATAATTATTCTCAAAAATTATTTTAGTACGACTTTATACTTTAACTGTTGTGAATCTTCTTATGCAATATTTGTAGAATGGAAATCCGTAAGTAACTCATTATTTTAGGTTTCTTAATTTAAAAATGAAAGTTAATTCAAAAAATACATTTCTACGACATAATATTGAATGCATTGATAAGTTAACAAAATCATAAACACATAAATATGAATCTCAAAAATATAAAAGAACTTCCAAATATAATTACTAGTAATATTCTAAATTAAAATTGTACTCATAATCACTTGTATATGTGTGCTTTACGTTAAGAAGTAATTATACTTCTTGAGAATTATAATTATATGTCAACAAAAATATCTCACAATAATTAGTATTAAACATCTCACAAAGAAATTATTAAATTAGTTCTTGTAAGACTTTGAAATGATCCATTTTAGATGTGCTAGAGAACAATTTTTTTAATTTATACACCCAAGTTTATTCAAAAAACAAAACGAATTTATATATTATAATAATATTATTTTTTGATGGTCTATATTATATCAATAACAGCATGATTGCAATAGCGGACAGAGCAGTTATTAAGTTACGACAGCTTTTCGAATGTCTGTGGAAAGTTTTTTTTTATTAATTATAATAATTGAGCCGAAAATCCTAGCAGCTAGCGCTAGTTTTTCGTATCTTAGTTATAAGATTTTATATTTTGTAAATAAAAAGCAAAATTTTGATAATAAAATTAATATAAAAATTTAAAAAATAACTTTAAGTTAAAGTTAGTCACAAATTATTTACGTTCAATATATTAAATTTTTTTTTTGCTCATAAACATGTAAATATTTTCGAGAAACTATTTTGACTGCTCAACAATTTATAATTTACCATTTCCAAGAACTTTAATGAAAAGCCATCACTTAAAATAACATCACATGTCCTGAAGCATAAAATTCATTAACGCAAGTGACAAAAATTGCAAGCGCAACAGTTTTTGTATCTCAAACATTACCACACCTGGTCCCATTAACCCCCAACGAAGGAGTTTAGAAAAGCATTATTGAAAGTAGTTAAACAAATCGTATCAATTAATTTTGCGGTATGTAAAATGTTTATTTCAATAATTGGCTTAAAGTGTATATAAATTATTTCATTATGCAAATATTTCTCATACTTTGATCCTTGCACCTGAGCTCAATATTCAGGACCTCAAAGTTTACATTTCGAAAACCAACTTATCTTTCATTTAATTTGAGGATAATTTAATTTTGCTAATCATTTTAAGTATAAGTATGTTTATATTTAATTAGTAAGAAATCTATTATATTACGTTTATATGTAAACATATAAAATTGATTATCAGGAATATTTTTAGATAAAATTTGTTGCAAATGTAGAGTGCGAACATCAATTAATGAATAATTTAAATTTGGTCTGTGAAATGAGATTTTAAGTTCAGAAAGGATTTACTTCATATAAAAGCTTTCGCACTTTCATTTTGCTTTTGTTTATTATACTATGTACATACGTACTCTTTTATACAGGCTCTTCTCTTTATTAACAATTTTTATGGACAAATAATGGACTGAAACAACTAATAAAAGATCTGTTAAATAAAGCTATCTTTTATTAACAAAGAGTAGTACTTTTAAATTATTCCTATATCTGTCCAAAAAATTTATTATTATTATATTCATTATATTCAAACATTATGTTCCAAATATTTTGAATAAAAGAATATGATCATGTGTGGAGTAAACTTGATTCAAAGGTGACCCATCATCTACTGATGTATCTTGATAAATATTCTGTTTGGTATTGCTTATGAAATGGTGTGATGATTTGGCCAAACATGCTCAGAAAAAAAGAATATTTGACTGGAACTATAACTGAAGTGTAAACTATCGATGACCTTATCGATGACCTTATCGATGACATTATCGATGACATTATTGTTGTCCTTATCGATGACCTTATCGATGACGTTATTGATGACATTATGGTAAATTAGAAAAAAGTATTTGTGCAGTGGTTTGAACTCGCCGATTTCGTTGTTATAATCAAACATCCCATCGTAGAGATAGAATGAATAATTGAAAGCAATATTGTAACAGCTTTCTAAGTTGCATGTACGATTCTTTTGTATCTTATATTTTTCTTATGCTTTAAATAAGATCTTGATATCTTTTTGGTATTAAAATTATTATAACTACACTAAGTGTGACAGAATTCATAGAAAAGAATTTAAATTGATTTTATATTAAAGCAGTTCGATACTAACCTATTTGTTTGACTCTATGACCGTTAAATTAACTTATGACCATATTAAAATTCCACTAATAAATGAGTTGTGCTTCATTTCGTTAAGTGTAACGATTGTAGATCGAATTCATCTATAACCCCGGTTGATGTCGTAATTAACAATATTGTACAATTAGACCATGTGTCCGAAAACATAATAACAAGGATCGAATCCACACTGCTAGAACATTTTCAGTTATTTCAGTTTATTGCTTTGTAGAGACCCAAGTAGAAAACTTATTATAAGAGTAATGGAAATCAGAACGAAGACAAGACTTTCTTACATTTTTTCTGTAAATGTCAAGAGAAGAGAAGAATTGCTAAGAGAAGAATCAGATTTTTAGAAAAGTACTTTGTAAGAAGTGTGACAGCTGTCTGACAGCTGTTTATGTATACGAATCTCCAATGATCTCCAATGAAATAATCTAGCTTATTTACAGGATGTTCTTGATACTATAATTGCAAGTAATTGTAGATTACGAGAGGCGGGTGAATAGGTGGGATACTCAGATCTAAAGAAAGTGATTGACTTTTTAACGAGAAATAAATCATGATGTAACTGCAAAAATGTTTTGGTTTATAATATTGAAGCGTTTTTTAAAGAAAATTTCTAGCTGCGGGACAGCTAGACTTTTTTTAACTACAAACAAAATGTTTTTAAATGTTCGTAAATTTTATTTTATTTATTGGATCTTTTTAAATAATATTTTTTATATAGTTTATATATATTGTGTATTCACTATTTTTTATCTAACCATATTTTAGTTAATGGTTTTCTTTAACACCATTTAAAACCAGAAATCGCCTTGATATATTAGTTTTACTTTTTCTTGTCTTAAAGATCAGCAAGAGTTAGACAGAAAGTTAATTTATCGGAGGCTGAATTCATTTGTGCCACAACATTGTTGAGTTGATTCTGAACGCAGGACTCGGTACTCGCGGAATCATTCGTAGTTGTGGAACTCATCTCTTGCAAATCATTAACAATCTAAAAAATAAACGATATAAGAATATTAATAAATAAATAAATTATTTTTTTTGTTGGCAATACTCACAGTTTTTGTGAAGCAGTTTATTTGTTCAATATTTGGCAAGCAACTGATCATTTTGACAGTGAATTCACCTTCAAAATCATCAGAATTGTTTACACTAAAGTATGCATCGATATCTTCGTTGCTGACACCGACACAATCCTTGATAGCCGAACCACTGCTGGATAATGCTTTGATATTATTTTCAGTGTAGTTCTTCCAACAGTTTAATTTTGTATTGTCTACTGATGCGTTTAGGTCTAGAGGATTTGCACTCAGAGACGTACCAAAGATAATGTGGGAAATAATTTTTATGGATTCTGCAACTGTTTGGTATGCACCTCCGGATAATTGTATATTCAACGCAAAACCTGTGGTCTATAGAAGAATCCAAATAGTCTATATGTTTATATATACTAGAAAAACAATCTACTTACGCTATACACCAGTGCGCAGATGGCAAGTATTTTTAAAAGAACCTTCATTGCGGTTAGTAATTTTATTTCTGTGGAAATAAACAATTTTTGCTGTATTTATATTCGATTGAAATTGTTTTCAAAACATGTACAAAAGTTTGTCGCATTATTTTGTAATCATAACTTATTTATCTAAATCTCTTATCCCTCAATGATTGATTAATACTATTGAACTTTATACTATTGAAATAATTTCGAATAAAATTTTTCCACCTTCAGTGCATCAATTTAGTACTTAAAATTACTTAAAATTCCAAATCGCAAGAACTTGACTTTATTAACTGAAGTGTCTAGGGTAAGGAATATTTGCCTTCCTGCATCAAGCCAGTTGATGAGACAATATATGCAATATCGTAATTCGGTACAATAGAAGTAGTTTTAGTGAAATTAAAAAAAGATTTGTCCATTCCCGATTTATTGTTCTTCTCTAAAATGCACTAACTATTCTGCATTGGGTTGTAAACAGAACTGAGGTTAGATATTGAGTTAAGGCCCATATGTTTGGTAGTTTCTTTATATTTCAGTTGCGAATTACAAACGTAGAAAATATTTTTATTAACAAATAGCTTACGTTAAAGAAAATTTTCTTAAAAGCAGTCATTTGTTGGACCCAAGTTTTATCGTCTTCTGAGTGACATACTTTCTACTCCCCTAAAAAACAGTTTACAAGAACATCCAAATAGATTTTTGTGGACTATTGAAATATGTTAAAAAAAAGCACTATATTAATTTAAAAATTATATATGAGTATCGAATTATATTATATAAAAGTGCATTCACATATGTTCATTTATGCTATACATAATTAAATTTTATTTAAATTGTTAAGGTACAATAATTCTATGTCTCAGTTAAATATATTCGTTTAAAAAATATTTTTTATTTTATTCCAAGTAGTTTCCAACCAATTTAAATTAGAATCGTGAGAGGTCGTTGTGTTTTCTGTAGAAATAGGTGTGGTTAGAATAAGAGTAGTACTATTGGCAGTTGTGTTAAAAGAAGGTTGAACAGTTGTAAGTAATGACGATGAATTTGAATTAGTTGTATTTGTCCATGGTGAAGTAGTAACATTGGCAATCGTTGTATTTATCCATGGTGAAGAAGAAGTTACTACAAGAGTAGTATTAGTAATCGTTGTATTAGTCCACGGTGATGAAGTAGTTACTGCCACTGTAGTATTGGCACTCGTTGTATTTGTCCACGGTGAAGAAGTAGTTACTCCAATAGTTGTATTAGAGCTTGTTGTATTGGTCCACGGTGAAGAAGTATTTACCGCAATAGTAGTATTGGCACTTGTGGTATTGGTCCATGGTGAAGAAGTTGATACACCAATGGTAGTATTGGCAATTGTTGTATTAGTCCATGGTGAAGAAGTAGTTACCGCAGCAGTGGTATTGGCACTTGTTGTATTTGTCCACGGTGAAGAAGTAGTAATTCCAATAGTTGTGTTAGAACTTGTTGTATTGGTCCAGGGTGAAGAAGTAGTTACTTCAATAGTAGTATTAGCACTTGTTGTATTACTCCACGGTGAAGAAGTAGTTACTCCAATAGTTGTGTTAGAGCTTGTTGTATTGGTCCACGGTGAAGAAGTAGTTACCGCAATAGTAGTATTGGCACTTGTGGTATTGGTCCATGGTGAAGAAGTTGATACAGCAATGGTAGTATTGGCACTTGTTGTATTTGTCCAAGGTGAAGAAGTAGTTACTCCAATAGTTGTGTTAGAGCTTGTTGTATTGGTCCACGGTGAAGAAGTAGTTACCGCAATAGTAGTATTGGCACTTGTGGTATTGGTCCATGGTGAAGAAGTTGATACAGCAATGGTAGTATTGGCACTTGTTGTATTTGTCCAAGGTGAAGAAGTAGTTACTCCAATAGTTGTGTTAGAGCTTGTTGTATTGGTCCACGGTGAAGAAGTAGTTACCGCAATAGTAGTATTGGCACTTGTGGTATTGGTCCATGGTGAAGAAGTTGATACAGCAATGGTAGTATT